AAATGTCTCTGAGTTTTGTTACCGTACTGTGCCCATCATCCGCTATTTCCAGCACTTAATCAAGCCACTCTTCTTTCAAACACGATGACGTTTTATTTCACATGTCACTGTGTTTGCGTTGGCTCTTTGGTTCGAGCCATTTCGTCCGCAACCATTAAAGTATTTGATCTCTACAGCGACTCATTTGCCGCACATCATTCTCTTTCTATGAAACCTGTAAACCGCATTCACCGGTTCTAACTCTATAGCGACACCAACTCTATAGCGTTTTACCCGAGCATTGCAATTATTTTGCATTTAATTCGATGAAATGGCTTTCCCAACTCTGTTTTTTGCATCTGTCCTGTGCGCGGCATATTATTTCTTCTGCGCTTTTAAGCCAGGCTCACACTACAGGATTTTTGGCTGGATTTTGCTGTCGTGGACAGATTTCCATAGTCTGTGACAAAACCCCCGGATCGTGACCAAATCGGTGCTCATTGCGGTTGCCGAAGCTCGTTAAGTATGAGCAGGTCAGCAACGTGATCCGAACCTGTCTCGAGCTATCACAGACGCAACGATATTTTCAAACCTGTTTGATATTATCGCCACGTGATCTCGTAATGTGAGCGACACAATGACAAGGTGGAACTAATCCAGCCAATCACAGTGCAGGTATAAACACTCATCATGCATCTTTATGAACAGACATGAAAGGCCACAAATGAATCAAATCAACTATAAATTTAACAAATGCAAAGATTGTGTATATAATACCACATTTCATTGTACTGTTTAATTACCTCCAACTCTTTCTGCAGTACTGACAGTCTTTGTTGTCCACGTCTTCCAAGCCATTGTTTCTGCCATATTCTCTTTTGTTGTGGTTTCTTCTTTCTTTCGGATAAAATAACTGCACAGGCCAATTGAAGGGCCAGTTGATCGTCCATGCTTGAAGATATGGCCTATAATCGCTGTAATTTAGCTATGACAAGACGGTGACAGATGAGAAGAAATCTTGTTGCGTAGTGTGAGCAACACCGTGATTCGGCTAGTCTTTCAATCATGTAGTGTGAGCTTGCCATTAGAGGGAACATTGTACATAGTATGCAGTATGTATAGGCTAGTCTTCATTCTGACCGTAACCTGTGTTTGTCTGTTGTGCAGCTGCACCGGGTGGAGATGAGGTGGCGCTGTACGTGGGTATCGTCATGGCGGTGGTCATGTGTCTGATTGTCTCTTCTATCGTGGCACTGCTTGTGTACCGCAAAACTCATCGGCGCTTTCACTCTGACATCATCGACTCGTCTGTGCTGAACGGAGGATTCCAGCCTGTCAGCATCAAACAAGCACGCTCAGGTGAGACGCTCAACCTTCATTAGTGGATCACTGTTGAGCTCTGATTGGTTAGAAATATAAAGTTTAAATTGATCAAAAGTGACAGTAAAGACATTTATAATGTTACAGAGCATTTCTATTTCTAACAAACACTGTTCTTTGAACTTTCTATTCATCAAAGAATCCTGAAAAAAAAAACAGTTTCCACAAAAATATGAAGCAGTTTTCAACTGTTTTCAATAAGAAATGTTTCTTGAGCAGCAATCAGCAGCATATTAGAATGTTTTCTGAAGGATCATGTGACAGTAATGATGTTGAAAATTCAGCTTTGCATCACAGGAATAAATTATATTATGGGACGGGCATCCGTGCCTGACCTCTGCAGAAGCATCCAATTGCACCAAGTCTGGCTTGACAGACAGGAGCGTGTGCCCAATGGCAGGTAAGGGACCGCCCCTTCACCGCACACATAAAGTCCAAGCAGATTTTTCTCAGTTTTTTGCCAGCATGTCGCTCTCGAAATCAGCTGCTTATTCTGGGGATAGTTTATCACGGACGCTTGTGGCACGCTTATCGCCTCTAATGATCTTCACACGTTCTGCGTGGTCTGCCTGGGCCTCAAACATGCAGAAGAGGTCTTGGAGAACCCTGAAAATTGCAGTCATTGCCTTAGGTTGCCTAAAACACTCCTGCGGCGCCGTCTTAAAGTTGCCGCGACCCAGTGCGTCAATTCAGATGGGGGACACGGCAATGACGACGCGCTACCGGGGGCTTCCCAGGGCGCAACATCTCTCGACTAGGCCGACCAGCCCAATCCGGCATTCCCTGAAGAGGATATCTTCGCGGGCAACCCCCCGTTCGCAGATGAACCGGCCGGTTCCGGTGATGATGACGACGCGGGCCTTCTCGGGGTCTCAGAGGACGAAGAGGCCATCCCGCCTTCTGACGTGGACGTCTGTGAACGAGCGGCCGCTCGCCTCAAAATTGAGTGGCCGGCTGCACAGAGCGCCACCGACCAGGAGAGGGATATTTATGACGGGAAGCTGCTGGGACCCCCTCCCGGCCCGAGGAAACAACTCTTCCCCATCCTCCCAGCATGCGCGAAGCACATGAGGCATTACTGGAGCGATCCACTTAACCTCAAACATGGTCTTGCGGGCCTCGAGGTTAAGGATATGGTGGTGCTAGGCTTGGGTGATCCCCTCGATCGCCAGGCATCTTAGCACTGTCCAGGGCGGGCTGCTCCCCCCTCCAAAGCCGGTATTGACGAACAAAATGGATCGTTTTTCTGCCTCAGTTCACCAGGCCGCATATAAATCCTCAGCCTTCTCTGTCAGGGCGCTCAATATTTCCTCTGTACTCTCCGCGTACCAGGCGGAGCTTTTGGATGATTTAGGTCAACAGCCTGCTGACACAGGGATCGCTTTCACCTACTCTGTGGAAAGAGATCCTCACGGTTAACGACCTCGTCCTCCGGAATGCTCGGAATGCCTTAACAGGATGGGGAGCCGCTCAAGAGGGCAGAATAGTGAACGGTGTGTGACCGAGCACACTCCACTCAGCCCACATAAATTATTTGGAGCTCCTTACTGTTTGGAAGGCTCTGAAATATTTTCTGCCCTGCCTGCAGGGGCATCACATGCAGGTGCGTTGCGACAACACCACAGCCGTGGCACATATCAACCGCCAAGGGGGGATGCGCTCCTCCAAGCTTCATGCTCTAGCTCACAAGCTGTTAGTATGGAGCAGGCAGCACTTTCTGTCGTTACGGGCGACCCATGTCCCGGGCGGTGCAGACCTTTTTGTCGAGCCCATTCTATGGAGAATGCCGCCTCCACCCTCAGATAGCGGATCTGCTATGGAAGAGGTTCGGTCGGGCAGCTGTCGAGCTCTTCGCCTCGTGTGAAAACGCCCATTGTCCTATGTTCTTCTCACTACGGCCCAATGTGCTGCTCTACGCTTTTTCTCCGCTCTGCTTGATATCTCCTACTCTGGTCAGGGTGAAAGAACAGAGCCTGACTCTGATTTTGATAACACCCAGGTGGCCCATATCTTCATGGCTGGCAGAGATAGTTCCTCTTCTGTATGCATAGCCATTGCCCCTCCCATTACGCACGGTCCTCCTGTCTCAAGTGAACGGGGAAATATACCACCCGCACCCAGACAGGGTAGCTCTCTGGGCCTGGCCCATGAGAGGGCAAATTTAAACTCATAGGGGCTCCCCCTCGTGTTGTTGCTACCATGCAGAATGCTAGAGCCTCCTCTACATGCTCCCTTGCAAGTGGCGTGTGTTTGAAGAGTGGTGCGAGGGGCGTCAGCTGATATCATATCAGTGCTCAGTCGTTGACATTTTGGTTTTTTCACGTTTCAGGTGCTTGAGCTTTCAGCTTTTCACCCTCCTCCATTCTCCTCTGCGGAGGATCAGAGGTTGAATGCTTTGTGTCCTGTTCGTGCCCTGCGGGTTTACATTGACAGGACCAGCTCTTTCAGGAGGAGTTATCAGACCTGCAAGTTGGGCCTCTCCACATATGTTTGTCAGATACTACCGGCTTGATGTTACTCACACCCCGGTAGCTCACTCTGTTTTAGCCTTGTGCCTTTGGACCTGCTACACATTTTAAGCTCGGGTTGACCAGACTGGCTTATTCATGTCATTAAGCAGGTCATTTGTACCCTCCCCTGACACCATATTATATATTCATTTATATGTATATATATGTCATAGCATTATGTGTGTTGTCAGGTTTTGTATGCATGTTACCACGTCATGCTTTTATGGCTGGTATTGCATGCTCACTTTGAGGGGTCAGTTACTTGGTGTCGTGTCAAGCACCGCCTTTCAGGTGACCGTCCTCTGACTTACAGGGCCTCGCTGTGAGTGTACTGGGCAACCGGGGAGCTGTCCATATCTCCCATAGATGGATCTCGAACACGAGATGATGAAAGAGAACAATAGGTTACTGTTCGTAACCCCGGTTCTCTGAAACATTGAGTGGAGAGATACACCAAGTTTACTCCGCTTGCTGCACGAGAAGCGAATATGCTCATTAAGGAAAGGTAGTGCGTGCTGGGACTTTATGCGCTTGGTGAAGGGGCGGTCCCTTACCTGCCATTGGACATGGGCCCATGTCTGTCAAGCCAGACTTGGTGCAATTGGATGCTTCTGCAGAGGTCAGGCACGGATGCCCTTCCCACAGGTGGATCTCTCCACTCGATGTTTCAGAGAACCAGGGTTACTAACAGTAACCTATTGTTATTTTAAATTGTAATAAAATTTTATAATATTACTGTTTTTACTGTATTTTTGATCAAATAAATGTAGCCTTGGTGAGCAGAAGAAATGTATGTGTCTACTGTACATAAATAAACCATACATGTTTATTATATAGAATTTGGAACTTCAATATCTGAATTATTGGCAGACTTAATTTCTTCTGAAAAATGCAGTATATTACAATGAGTGTCAATTGAATTAATTTTCATTTGGACCTCAACGTTATTAAAAATATATTCTTTTGTGTTTTGCAGATGAAAAAAAGTCATACAAGTTTGTAATGAAATGAAGGTGACAAAGTGATGACAGAATATTAGTTTCGTGTGCATTTCCCTTTAATAACAAATGTAACCAATTTTGAACATCTGTGTCTTTTTGTGATATTGCTGTTTTTACCAGATTGAAAGGGATTTTAGGCATTGTATTCATGCAAGTCACTATAACGCACATCCTGGAGTAGATTATTGCTTTGGTAAAACATTCAAACGCGCTATTCAGACACAATCTCTCTTACTGCGGCTCTCAGTCAATGCAACAGTTTCAGAGAGGAGCTGTGGGAGTGTGTGTGTGTGTCACCGTAAGACACAAGAATGATTAAAATTCCAATCAAGTGGTGAACGGAGTGGAAGGCAGTGTTCCAGTGTTAAATTGTGAGGTGTGTGTGAGAGAGACTCAGGTGACATTTCATCTGAGGAACATTAGAATGCCTGTCATTCTCCCACCTGAACAGGTTATCATTAATGAAGAATCGTCGTTCCGCTCGCTCTCGTATTGTCTCGCTTTTCCCCTCATTTTCCCGCTCGTTTTCTCTTTAATTAAACATGAAGCGGGCTGTAGGTGTAAATGGCACCCTGTCAGGGTGAAAGCACCGTGTGGAGACGCTGCGGAGGATGTCGGTGAATGAGTTGATAAATACAGAGGTAGGGGATGTGATGGTAAAGCGAGACGTTCACATCCGTCAGTTTTGCTCTGGTGAAGATCTCTCCTGGGTTTGGACACGTTTACTTCGACAGGTATGATGCAATGCAGTGCGGTTTACACTTTCTCAACGATCGCTGCGTGATGAATGACTTAAACGTGTGTCAGGAGTGTGAACGGTGCTCATGGTGAGTAATGCTCACACCTGAGTAACCGGAGAGAGAAAGAGAGCTGATGTGCAAAGTGACATTCCTCTGTTTAGTCACTGTGGGAAGCTGAATGTTAATGAGCAATCAGTATGGAGATTAGCAGCCGCTGGCTGTAAGAGTCCTTTACAAGCTCTCTCACACACACACAAACACGGTGATTTCATTTCAAAATAGCACACAACAGAAATACATACAAGGAATAGGTCAGCTAAAAAAGTCATTTACCCACCTTCATGCCGTTCCAAACCCCTATGACTTTCTGGAGCGCAAATCAAGCAGCTCTGTTACATGCAATGAAAGTGTTTATTAGCTTTGCTTACATCTAAATTATGCCAAATTATGCATATTGATCTTGCGCGTTTAAAAATGGTCACTTGTATGGAAATTTAATACAAATTAGAAATTCAAATGGAAATTGTAGTCACTGTAGCTGGCTTTTTTCTGTAATGTAGCTAATTAATTATTTGTGGTTTAGAGTGTGTGATGAGATGCTCTGATGAAATTGGTTATTTCATACTTCAAATTATGGAAGCTTGTCTACACCACGGGATAAAAAAATATAAAAGGTAATCTCACAATTCTGACTTTTTTTAAAAGTCAGAATTGCAAGATATAAAGTGAGAATGGTGAGATATAAATGTGCAATTCTGAGAAGAAAAGTAGGAATTGTGAAACTCGCAATTGCAAGAAAAAGTAACAATTGTGAGTTAAAAAGTTACAATTACCTTTTTATAATTTTTTATTCCGTGGCAGAAACAAAAAACATAATTGCAAGGATGTAAACTCAGAATTCATAAACAAAAACTCAGAATTGCAAAATATAAAAAAAAGTTTAAATTCTTATCCCATTGCAGAAACAAACTAAAAAAAAAAAAAGTACGCTGATTTAAATATTTGAGAGCTTTAGCAAAGGGAGAACATTTTCAGTAAATAATGTCTTAATATGTGTTTTTGTTCCTCTCAGAAAGTTATCATGTGACTTTTAATATAGCACATACAGAGTTGTATGGACTTCAGTATTTTATTGTGCTTTTATGCTGGGGGGGGGGG